CGCGGCCGGCGAAACGACGAGGCGAAGCGGGGGTTCGTTGGCAGTGCAGTGATTCGGGGTTATCAGATTCGGGGACGATTTATTAATGTCCGATGAGTAAGTAGGTGTGACGCAGGGCGCGGGGAAGGAGAAGGGTTATAATGGATATTCCAAGTTGAAATTGAAGGTAGAAAGAAGGAAGGAACTGACATTCTATTAAATTTGGGCCACTCGCGTTAGAAAAACAAGTTGTGTTAAACACATGGAATGGCCTACTCATGGATGAGGACTCACTGGATGACTGGACCTATGTGTCCGGCGAAACGACGAGGCGAGGCAGGGGTTCGTTGGCAGTGCCGTGATTCGGGGTTATCAATGTCGGATGAGTAAGTAGGTGTGACGCGGGGAGGGTTGTATTGGATATTTCAAGATGAAGTTGAAGTTGGAAAAAGAACTTGCAGTACAGTTGTACTAATTTAGCGATTGTTTCAAATACAAGTTGGGTTTCGGCTGGTCGGGCGGTCGTGCGGGAAGAGATGCGCAGAGGTGGTGCAGAGTACTTTATTCTAATCGACAAACGGGTTGAACCTACGGTTGGGGATCCGGACCGAATAGGCGCGTGGGGCGGGGCAAGTAGCACGACGTCAGATGGACGCAGCAAGGCACGGCAGGTGATAAGTTCATTCCTGTTTGGATGGTTGACGGCTGATGGCGAGTGCCTCGGATGGAACGCACGTTGGGCGATGAGTTGCGGAGCTTTGCGGGCACGTTGAACGGTTAGTTGAACGCCACGCGATGGCCGAGAGGGGTACTCGGGACCGCAGAGGCGAGGAGGCGAGGAATGTGCTGGGTGCCTGCAATACCAAGGATGGCAAGATAAGTTACTTATAGAGCGACGTGGACTGGCAAGGGGTCGGTGATGGTGCCTCTGTCCGTGGCTAGGTAATTGAGCGTGGGAGGCGGGGGGTTTGCAGCCGAGGATGGTCCGTCGAGGCAGATACGTGGAGTTCGGGTGGTATGTACGGGGATACCAATAGAATTAGCAGGATGCGGGGTATGCGGGCAGGGTGGGGCAAGGCGCTATACGAATGCTATAGGATAGTATACAAGTAACGGAGGCAGTTGTGGGTGTTGCAACGGGCAGGACGGTTGTTTGGATCAGGTGCAAGGTCAGGTGGTGTCGACGAGGTCGGATCTGGCACTCGGCCCGAGCGGGCGCACCATTTCCCTTTGCACCCCAACTTGCTAACTGCCACCAGCAACAACCCGTCCACCATGGGCAGACAGCCTGCCCCCGTCCTCGCCGTCGTCCACGACGCCCTCGACACCCAGGACGCCCTCCAGCTCTGGTCGGGTGTGTGCTACTCTATAATATACACTCGGTGCCAATGCTAAATCTATAAACAGTCTTTTCAAAATGCAAGGACTCGCTGCAGGACGGCCGCCGCCTCGAGAACATCTCGTGGCGCCTTGCCTCCCGCGACCCTCGCCCCTCGCCAGCGGCCGCCATTCGATTTTCCGTGGCCACCGACGCCCGAGTCGGTCTGCAGCGACGGCACAACCAGCAGCGGCGCCCCATCGCCTTTTTTCCGTGCGCACAGTATCTGATTTGCGCGCACCCGACACTGATCGATTCGATACTGCAGCGATACTCCCGATGCTCGTCACCCCCGCTCGCCCCGCAGGACGCATCATCTGCGACATGTTCCCCCCGGGCCTCCCCCAGCAGCTCGCCCACACGGACGCAAAGAAGGACGGCTACCCGACCCCCGCCTCGTCCAGCAGCTCGTCGTCCCCCTCGTCGTCCGCCGTCTCCATCGCCGTCGAGGAGGTCCCGGTCCAGGCCCCAGGCACCCCGCCCCCCGCCGTCCCCCGCTTCGTCATCGTCACCCCGACCCCCAACCTCACCCCCCACCCCACGCCCCCCACCACCCCCCTGCTCGTCGCCGCAGCGGCGGACCCCCCGCGCCCGTCCCTCGCCCCGCTCGACCAGAACGCCCTCTTCCTCCCGCGCGCCGCCACCCGCGGCATGGGCGCGCCAGTCTCGCCACCCGCGGTCCCTGCGTCCCCCACCCCGACCCCGACCGCGTACGCGCCCCAGTCCACCCACATCCTGCCCCTCGGCGGCCGCCCCAAGTTCTACCTCCAGGCGTCCGCCTCGTCCCACTCGTCCTCGCCCTCGTCCAATGGCGACGACAAGGAGGACGACAAAGAGTCCACCTCGCGTTCCAGTGCGAGTGGCAGCGGCAGCGGCAGCGGGAGTGAAAGTTCGCGCGAGCGCGGGGAGCGGGTGGCACGAGGTCGGGCACACGTCCCTGCCCGGGCACGCGTTGATGTCCAGAGACGCGAGGCGCAGGCCCCGCCCGCGGAGGTGGCGCCAACACCGCCCCCACAACAGGCCCAGCCCGAACCGCAGAAACCAAAGCCCTCGCGCGCCGCGTCCGCCCCGTTCCTCGGCGGGTTGGTCATGGAGGTGTGTTGCTTTTTACGTACATTCTTTTCATTTCGCTCATTTTATCTAGGTCGTGCAGCTCCCCCCAGTCAATGGCCGCCCCGACACGGACGACACGCGCTCCGTGTCGTCCCTCGCGACGTCGTCGTCCAACGCGCGCGTGCGCCGGAAACAGCCTGTGCGCCCTGCGTTGCGCACGCAGCAGTCGCGCTCGCGCTCGAGAAAGGGTGGCACGCACGCCAAGGAGCCGGGTGGGCTCGCCAAAAACAAAGAGGCCCGCGACGCGCCGAACGCGCTCGGCCTCCCGTCCAACCTCGCAGCCGCCGCCGCGCTCGTCGAGCGCACCATGAGCACGCGCGACGTGCGCCGCAAGGTCGTGCTCGCGACCAGCGACGAGGACGAGGACGGCGAGTGGAGCGACGACGAGGACGAGAGCGCCGTCGAGGGGGAGAGCGTTGAGGGTGAGAGCCTCGAGGGCACGGAGGACCCCGAGGCGTGGGAGGACGAGGAGGACGAGAGCGAGGACCCGGCGCCCGCACGCCCTCCTCACGCCAAGGCGCCCCCGCCATCGCTCCAGCAGCACGCCCCGAACCTCGGCCACGCGCGCGGACACAGTATCGGTAGCAGCAATAACGCCAGCGACAACCCCGCTGCGGGCCTGCGCCAGCTGCCCTCGCGGCCCCACCGCTCCGCGGGCCACCTCCCCTCGCTCGCCGCTGCGCCGGCGAAGCACCAGCACACCGCGTCCGCGCAGAACGCGCGCACCGCGCGCGCGCTCAAGGCCACGATGAGCGCGACCACGCTCTCGGGCGCGATGCTCGAGGCGCAGCGCCAGCGCCAGATGTTCGTCAAGGCGCCGCGCGCCAGCTACGAGAACCTTACCGCGCTCGCGGCTGCGCGGCCCGGGGGACTGAGTATGTTGTTAAGGCCGCAGCAGCTGCAGCAGGAGCAGCAGTATCAACAACCACAACCACAGCAACAACAACAGAATGGGAATGGGCTCCCGCTGCAGCGCGTGAGGCCCGCGGGTGGATTTGGCGGGCTGGGGCTGAAGATGAGCTCGGCGCGGCCGCCGGTTGCGGGGGGCGCTGGGGGGGCAGAGTTGTCCCCGATTCCGCCGACGCCGGCGACGGCGGTGTTGCAGCAGCAGCAGCAACAACAACATTATCAACAACAGCCGCATCAGCGGCAGCAACAACAACTACAGCAGCAGCAGCAACAACATCAGCAGCAGCAGCAGCAGCAGCAGCAGCAACAGCAACAGCAGCAACAGCAGCAGCAACACCCGACGAGGCGGTCCCCGCCAGCAGCAACCCCGCAACCACGGCGGCCCGGAATGCCGCGCGCGCTGTCGAGCAGCGTGTTGCCGTCGCATTTTGCGGGCACGAGCGGGTCGTTGGGGAAGAGCAGCGTTGCGGGGCCGGTCGTTAGCACCGGCGGTGGCATCGTCAGTGCGGGCGGGAGCAGCACGCAGTCACAGACGCAGATGCAGAACGGAAATGGGCATGTGAACGGGAGCGCAGGGGCTGGGCGGAGCGGGGGGTACCGGCCCAAGGGCCCGCCCGCGGAGATGGAGTACGACGACGAGGAGGACGACGAGTCGGATGCGGATGGGTTGGCGAGGGGGAAGGGCAAAGGCCGTGCAAGGGATGAGGGGCTGCAGCTGTCGAAGAGCGTCGCGCAGGAGAAGCTGCGCGTCCTCGCGGAGAAGAGCGCGATTCTGTCGCGCGCGAAGAATGGGAGTGGGAGTGCCAATGGGGACCCGGCGGAGCGCCGGAGGTTGTTTGAGGAGTCGGATGTTGTGCCGTGGGCTGCCAATTCACAGACGATGGAATCCGCCACGCCGCCACCGCCGTCGCAGCAGCAACAGCAGCCGACGTCGTCCGCGCCGGTGGGCTTTCCCTACAACCTCCCCGCGCCCGTGCCGCCGTCGACGCCGCGCACGACGCGCCAGCAGATGCTGCGCAACGAGATGTCGGAGAGTCTCCGCCATAACCTGTTGTGGCAGCGCAAGCTGAGCCGCACGGATTTCATTGGGCCGCAGCCAAGGCGCACGAAGAGCACGGTGCATGTGCCAAGCACGGGTGGGACTGGGGAGGGCCCGGGGCGGCAGGCGGAGAAGAGCCTTGTGCGCGTTACGGAGCGCGCGCCGGGGGCGGAGCGGGCGAGGCCGCCGATGGACCCGCCCGTGCCTGTCGAGGGCGCGCCGAAGAAGAAGCTCGTCCGTAATTTGAGCTGGGCGGACACGTCCGACTACCATCGTAGTGGGTGGTAGTGCTGCCAGTGAAGTTTCCTTCTTAATCAATTGTGTTTCTGTTTCCTGTCTAATGCATGCACCTACATACTGTAATACGAAATTCAACTACTCATAGCGTCGTCGTTTTTGCTGTCGTCCACTTTGTACTACTACCATTGTCTCGGTCTTCTGGCTTTTAGCGTACATATATAATTGGTAACTGTTTTGCATGTCCGATTTTTCTGAGCGAATTTGGAACTTGCGTGAATATTATTTTTGGAATGGAAACCTTCCTACATGGGCCAAGATCCCATCCGAGCAGCGCTTTCCAAGGGTTGGATGGCCGAGTGGTCTAAGGCGCCAGATTCAGGACCAATACCTTCGAGGTGTCCCCAATGCATTCATTTGCTTTCTGGTCTTCACGGGCGTGGGTTCGAATCCCACTCCAATCATTTTTGACGTTTTTGATCTAATTCCAGATTGAATTCCAATAGGATCCTAAGAACACTGAGAACGGATGTGTGTGGGCAATGTGAAATGTGAAATGTGAAATGTGAATTCAAGTGGTAGAGGTGGGATTTCGGCGACAAGAGTTCTTGACGGGGTTACAAAATTGTGGCAAGCGGCCTGATTGAATGTCTGTTTGGCCATGCTTGGCGCTCCCGCCAACTGACTGATTTGGATCAAATTCGGATGGCAAATCAGTCGTCGCATCCACCCTGTTGGCCACATTCCACTCGGACACAATTTGAACCACCAAATCATAGAATACATGTATAGACAAGTGTGTACAGTAGTTATAAATTTATTAGTTATAAATGGTTGTATAAAGTTGTGATTAGTCGCAGTCTCCATAACCAGCATCATCCTTCTCCACCTCTGGCTCTACAACAGGTTCTTTGGGTTCTAATGCTCCAGGCACTTCAATACTGAGCTTGGGTACCTTGCTGCTCTCAACCCGAGGCAACCAGCGGCCCAAAGTGGCCACTATGATGTCGGCCAGCTCGTGTTTTTTAAGCTTGGCCAGATAATGGTGGAATCTCGGTCTTGTCGACCTCTATCTCCCGAAGATGATGCCACTTGCATTGGAGATTCAGTGCAGGCTTTTGCATGTCCTCCAGCGATGTGGGGTTGGTGAACTGCTCAATAAAAAAGATTGGCTTGCACTTGTTGATTGCTTGGATGTCTGCGGCTTTCTTTGCATTGGCTTTCTTCTTGTGCTCCCAGTGTTCCACCACCACCTGTGTGTCATGATCTGCCTGCACTAGCTTCTGCTTTTTCTCCTGCCCTTCTGACCCAATAGTCTGAGCAGCCTGATGCAAAATTTTATTCTGTGTGTGACTTTGTTCCAAGGTCTTGCATGTGGCTGCTAATTCAGCCTGAGCTTTACTGAGACAGAGCTGGAGACTGGTGGTGAACTTGGAGGATGAACTCCAAGCATGGAAAAGTTGCCCAGTAAGGTCTTGGACTCAATCCTGCAGGTCCTGGTTCCTCGTGGCATCTCGATTGCCCTTACAGTGCTCGTTGCAGAACTTGGCCGGAAACTGCACTGTCTGTATGCCAGTTCTGCATTGTGAGAGCCAATGGAGGTTGGAGCTAGATGATGCCATAGTGTGAGATGTGTTGTTGAGGCGGTAGAGCAAGCAGAGTATGTTGGTGATGCAGAAGCAGTCGAAGGATGATTTTCCTTGTCAGATGAATGATCTGGGATATTGGCCGGTGAGATGCATTACAGATTGGTCTGGGTACGTGCCTTTTGAAAGCCCGTATGTTGCTTTGGCCAGATTCCAGTGTTTCTGGTCACCCATACACGCAAGAGATGTGTTGAAGAGAGAGAGTGTGATTCCCGGCAGCATCAATTGCATTATGTAATTGACAGATTGTAAGGCTGGGATGCGCCTTCTAGTGGAACACACAAGTAAGTAACTGGCAGGTCGTGGACTTACTAAGTGAGAAAGACCCCGTGAGCGGTCTAGATCGACAAGATACCGCTAGGAGCCGATATTCGTACACCAGATCGCGGTATCTCTGACTTCAGCGAATATTCACTATAAGCCCGATCCAGAGTTATTCGCAGAAGTCCTTTCTTTAGACCGGAGATCGTGCATGAGGACGACGAGAGTTGAAGAGAGAGAGAGAGTAGATTAGGATCGCCTGGTGCCTACTACTTGTGCTCGGAGAGGCTCGACGAGTCAAGTATAGGCAAGGCAACGTGATAGTTTTGAGTAAAGTGTAGTGTCTTGTCCATTCGCTGGCAGATGACTAATCAACTACTTATCTAATCATAAACGTGTATCGGCCGAGAGGTTTAAAAGTAAGAAAGTAAAGAAATACTATGCATAAGGCGGGGACGGTTGAACGGCCCCGCAGACGGTTAAACGACTCCTTACACAGATCCCTTTTCCAGACACCTATCTCTGGAGGTCGGTGGAGGGTTCCACACTCACTGGAGTCTGGATTGAACATGCTGGAATTTCCTTGGAAGATACCTGTACATGCATTCTGCAGGGCAGAATTTTAATAACAGTCTTGATTTTTGTGCAACAAAACATTGATAACATCAAATGTGCAAAAATGAAAATTCTGGCATGCAGAATACATGGACATGCATATCACAAACTGTTCTTCCCTGCAGTACCAGGTCACAATTGAAGTGGATAGGCCCCTATCAATGCTGCAAGGTGTTTGCCACTATTTACAGGTGCTTGGCATGTTATGTAAGCACCATCAAAACCCTTTGCATTGCCAGTTCTCAATCCTATATACAAAAAGACGTTGACACTGCCACCAAAAAGTTGCCTGAGAAAATCACCTAATATTGTCATGTGAGAAGCTTGGAATTAGCTGTGTGTGGGTGAACCCCCCGAACACGGAATCCGCTGTGTCTGTGAAGAAACTTGGAATCCACTGTGTCCCCCCAGGGTTTGGGGCAGAGCCCCAACAATCTGTTGACCTGCCAAAAGGATGGATGTGAGTGCAGCAAGTCGGCTGTGCCGAAGGCAGGGTTGTAAAGCTTGTATAATACATAAGATAGGCATCGCATCCATGGAGTCACATGATTAGAAGCGTGACACCACCTTCCTGCCCATACTGGTCAGCGGTGTGGGGTGGGTGTCACAAACTAAAACCATAGAATGGTTCAGTTTGACCCAGGAACAATCCTATGGTCTCAGATTTTCAATATTCCTGGGTAATGGCCTATAGGCAAAGCCTGGACACCCTTCTCATGTACAGACATGATACTACATTTTATATAGCCTACCTAAATATTTGAGCTCCCTTTTGGGGAGATTTAGTCTGTCCTGAACAGTTTGAGGATAAGTAACACCACGTCTAGTGGAGCAGTGCAAAACATAATGTGTACTGAGCATTGGAGACATTGAGGTTATATTATCGTCCTAATCCAGAAACTTCAACTCTTTGTCCTGATCCAGAGACTTCAACTGTCCTAATTGGGAATTGATGCTCAATAGAGAACCAGCACCCCGATTTGGGAGTATGATCACTTGAGTCTGACTAAGCATTGAGAATGAGCTCTCTTGATGTTGAGTCAGCTCTGGTTTCCACTCTAGAAATTTTTTTTCCAAAAAAACAAATTTAAAGTGTTTGCATGCCTGCTGCCAATCCGCTGCTCTCCGCTTTTTGATTTTTGCTTGTCACATGCATTCAAGGAATCCTATTGGCTTAAAATTTCTGGTCCATGTCACATGTATTGAACACATCCTATTGGCTGAAAACCTATCCCCAGAAGGAAATCTGTCAGGGTTCAACATATGCTAGAACCTGGAACACTAAAGTGTCCAGGCATATCTGGTCTCAATGAAATGTTTTTCATCCATTTTTTAAAAAGTGCTCCAAATGAGAAGTGAAGAACCTGAGAGCAGTTTGCTTGAGAAGTGCCAGAAATACACAATTTGACCCAGCGTACCTGAAGATGTTCCACCTGAGGTCAAGTATCTTCAGCTCTTTGGTGATCCAGCTTACAGGGCTACCTATCAAATTTGCAGCCCCTTCACCAGAGTTGGGGAACAGACAGTGGAAGAACAAGAGTGGAACCATCAGATGTTGTGTCCATGGATGTCCGCTGAAAATGGATTTGGCGAGGTTGTTGCACAGTGGCCGTTCCTCAATACATTCTGGAAATTGTGCATTTACCAGTCCCCAATAGGTCACTATTATCAGGTTGTGGTGTTGCTCACAAATGCGATCAACTGCTTTCTCCCCAACCTCATAGCTCAATGGTTTGATGTTCAACCTCCCAAAGTCGAGGAATACTTTCATGATTAGATTTGTACACAAATAAATAATACATTTTGATTGAGTTCAACTACATTAGTTTCTCTTGATAGTGTCTGCAAGTTCCCTCAAAATCCCCACATACTGAGTCGTTTGCTCACAGATCACATCATTCTGCTTATCCACACTCTCCATCAGCTTCTTCTCAAGCGATTTCTGGGCATGGCACTGCTCTTCCTGTCCCTGTTGGAAGGCTTGAAGGCTTTGAAGCGGCAGGTTGATTATCTCGGCCTCTTTGAATGACCTCAATCACTTGTGTCAGCTGCTGGTCCCATGGGAAGAAGATGTGTGCTTTCTCTTCAACTCCTTTACTGGTGGCGGCAGCTCTTGCACGTCTGGTGTCGATCCACAGACAGGAGAGGTTCCACAACTGGTGTCCAAATCGAGTCAATATTGATGGTCTTCTGCTTGGCAGGAGGCAGGGTGAGGTCGAAGTGGCCTTGACAGTACATGTTCTTCAAAGAGTTAAGGTAGATAGCCTCCCCTCCTCACTTTTTGTAGTTGTCTTTCTGCCATATATATAAAGGCCAGCGACACATTCATCTGGAGACATCAATCACACACCTTAGCAGCCTTTGCCTTCCACTCTTCGGTTCTCCCTTCTGCTCATTCCTTTGCCTCGCTGATGCTATTGAGCAATGCCACCATGCTGATCGACTCGTGAGCACTGCCTCAACTTGGGTGCCATCATTGGTTTCTGGATCCTGTGAGGAGTCAGCACAGCAATGAGAACCAAGAGGCTACTCACATGATGCCATTCCAAAAGTCAATCCATGGCGATGCACATCACAGGTACCTTCATTGATTGGAGTTGGTCTTGAGAGTGGACGGATTTGGCAATCTTATCCCAATGCTTAAGCAGATCCCTGTACAGTGATGAGAAGTGATCTGCATCCCAGACTGCTTTGGTGAGGGCTTGGCATGCAGCAGTGGTGAGCTTGAATTTGGTACCCTTGTTCTTCGCAGTGGTGTGGCCAGGAGCTCAGTTCTACATGTGAACTAGGTTTGGCTGTGAAAAAAAGCCATGAAAAGCTGGTGCACCTCTTTTTCCTCTTCATGTGAGCTCCACCCTGGCTTCCCAGCACTTCACTTCATTCTCCCCCTAGCCTTGGCAGCTGCACAATCGTTCACCAGGGCTTGATGAACCCATTCTGGC